GCGGGGGAAATGTAATAAGATTTTATGAACAACCGCAGAGATTACAATCAAATAAAGCAGTGAACAAAGAAGAGAGATGGTTATATCGTACAAATATATAATATTGGCAAATATGACTGGTTATTGAAGTTTTGGTTTATCAGCATCCAGTGTAAACAGTGGTGGATGTACATGTACATCACATGTATGTGAGACACATTGAAAATTTGAAAACACACCACTGATCATCATGCACTGTGATGACTCATTGGATTTCAACAGAGCATTTAACCTGCTTTCTGCTAGTTCTCGCTGGAATATTTAGATGATACAATAATAGGACAGGGGGGGGGGACCTTACTATAACGGAATTACATGTACAGAAGTGTACATATATATATATATACAGAAGTGTGAATAAATCCTAGCACTTAAATCGAAAATTTGTGGCACACGCCCATCATAGTCAGTAGTAGACAAAATAATTCTGTCCCATATAAGTTATAACCTTTTTTATATTTTGGTGAAGGTTATATTGGGACAGAACGGGGTTCATTGAAATTTCGTGAGATCGCATGCAAAATGCATGCGCTGAGAATGCAGCCCGTATGACACTATTGGCACGAAAAAAACCTACCGTTCCCTTCTACATGGCTTTACCTTGCTACTGATATGTGTATACATTCACTTCAATCGTTATTCACTTCTTAAAAGATTGTTTTTCATAAACACCGCTTCGTTCAACTTTCCTAAATTACATCGCCATTTACAAACAATCAGACCAATCACAGCGAGTCTATCAGGCCTCCTGCAGCGCCACAGATACAAGCGAGAACCAGGGGCTATTGTAAGACTCGCTCTGATTGGTCTGATTGTTTGTAAATGGCGATGTAATTTAAGAAAGTTGAACGAAGCGGTGTTTATGAAAAACAATCTTTTAAGAAGTGAATAACGATTGAAGTGAATGTATACACATCAGTAGCAAGGTAAAGCCATGTAGAAGGGAACGGTAGTTTTTTTTTCGCGCCAATAGCGTCGTACGGGCCGCATTCTCAGCGCATGCATTTTGCATGCGATCTCACGAAATTTCAATGAACCCCGTTCTGTCCCAATATAACCCTCACCAAAATATAAAAAAGGTTATATGGGACAGAATTATTCGGTCTAAGTCAGTAGCAGCTATGAAGATAAATATGCTGTAATCATTTAAATATGAATTATGTCACACAACAAACATTACAGTCACATGATTAGTTAACATTACAGTATCACATGGGTAGCTAGCATCTCACATGAAAACACATGTGACTGTTTCTTACCCATGCCCAACTTTGAGTATGGCTATGGCAAAAGTCATGCGTTATAGGCGCGATTTCGGTTGTCCGTGCTGGCGGAATAGTGACTTGACAAGATTGGAAGGTGTTGACACCAGTGTGACATGCACACCGCATATTGGGAAAAATTGCTTTTCCTGGTAAATAAAAACGAACTATATTTACTCCTAAAGTCTCCACCAACGTTTATATGCTCTCTATCGCCTAATAATTCCACATAAATGCCATCATGCTCCTCTCCGACACACAATCTCACTGCATACCGTGCCACTTTGTCATATGAAAGATAAAGCTGTATCTTCCCAATTCCTGTACTGATTCGGTACTTATTACTGACGCTGAGAGGGTCTATGTGCCCCAGTGTACTATCGGAGGGTACCCTGGGTACGGTTCGATATATCGGAACGTACCCTGGTACTATCTAATATGTACCGTAGCTCGTACCTCGTTAGACCGTACCTCGTTTACTCCACTAACGAGTCTAGGGAGTCGCCTACGCCTACTCCCTAACCCTAACCCTAACCATATCAGATAGTTACCAGGGTACGTTCCGATATATATCAAACCGTACCCAGGGTACCCTCCGATAGTACCCTGGCAGACATATCTGATATGGTTAGGGTTAGGGTTAGGGTTAGGGAGTAGGCGCAGGTGACTCCCTAGACTCGTTAGTGGAGTAGGCGAGGTACGGTCCAGCATATTAGATAGTACCAGGGTACATTCCGGTATATCAGACCGTACCCAGGGTACGTTCCGGCAGTACCCTGGGGGACATATAGACCCTCTCAGCTGCAGTTTGGGTACGCTCGCTGTACATGCTGTGATTGATCATTGCCATCGCTGTAATTATTACTGTTAGTATTAGTAATTATGTTAAACACAAAACCCACTGACTAAATGCACACCACACACATTGTAAATATTCCATCGAGACTTGACCCAGATTCATATATATATATATATATAATCATATGAGTCACAGTGACTGTATATATATCAGGAGCTAAAGGTAGGGGCACACGAGCGATTTTTATCGCCCGATCGCCGCGAATTTCCAAATTCGCTCGAAAAAATCGCTCGTGTGCCCCTTCACGTCGCTCGTGTGCCCCTTCACGTCGCTCGTGTGCCCCTTCACGTCGACGCCGATTTTAATCGGCCGACCGAATCGCCCGTATCCAAAATGTTAGATATTTTCGAGCGATTATTTACGCCGGGCGATTATTATCGCTCGTGTGCCCGTGACCGGCGTATTTTGTCGCCCGATCGATTTTTCTAAACCAATCGGACGTGTTGTTGATATCATGTGATGTTAAATGTTCTGTCGAGTGGCGTACGCGTACGCTCTCAAATTCGCTACGTCACGTGTGCCCCTTCGTGATCGGGCGATAAAAATCGCTACGTGTGCCCCTTCGTGATCGGGCGATTAAATTCGCTGGCAATTTTAATCGCCGCGATCGGGCGATAAAAATCGCTCGTATGCCCCTAGCATAATAATGACAAATATTTGTCAAATATATATATATATGAATCTGGGTCAAGTCTCGATGGAATATTTACAATGTGTGTGGTGTGCATTTAGTCAGTGAGTCAACTCTCTGCATTGATAACTAGAATATATACATGTATATAAAATGTCACGTGCGCACCTGTTGCCAGAACAGGCGTATCAGTTATCAATTACAGATAGATAATAATATCTGTAATCTATTTATATGTCAATAAGAGTTTCCAACCATTCATAATTCATATATACGATATTGCAGATGTGATGCGGTGCTGCTGCATACATGTAGAAAGATATTGACTGTTGTCGAAACCTTGGAGTAATCATTCTGGTGATCAGATGATCAGAATGATTACTCCAAGTTTAAACACAAATCATAACCTTTCTTGCCGTTCATACACTCGCAAGAAGTGATCTCACAAATATTGTAATGGTAACTCTTCACTGTACCAGGCTCTATCGAAGAGGGTAGATCTATCGACAGAAGACAACTTGGTCAAGTCAGTAGATTGACAGTATACTATTAGTATTACCAGGAGTAGATAATAGAAGATAGTCTTCTATTATAGAATAGTAGATAGTCTATTATAGTATATAGTCTATTAGATTAGTTCTATTATAGTAGATAGTCTTCTATTATCTACTCCTGGTATTACTAACAGCAGCATAGAAAGTTTCAATCTCACAGTTTATGAAAGCTGGTCGAAGAGTTCCAGTAACAAATAAACAGAACAATTACAGGAAATAAATTTGAATGGCTCTTTTGAGGATGAAACATGACAGAAGCAACGGTCAGAGGCAAATGACTGAGTTTTACTGAATGATTTCATCAGGAGTAGATAATCCTGAGTCTCTATTATCTACTCATGATTTCATCAATGATCATGCAAGCAGAAGTGGGATATCGATTTTATCGTGGCTGTGATAAATCCAGTAGTTTTATGAGGTTATATGAGACGTATACGTGTTTTTTTATGTGAAATTCTATCTGGAAACCTAGTCGCACATATAGCTCTTGCACACTACATAATAATGTAACTAAACGTAACTGCATGTGATGTAAACGATAACATGTAGATCTGTGACTAGAAAACCACAACTAAGCAGCTATAAATAGCTCGCAGTATATTCATGGCTGGCATATGCCATATCTGGTTATATATAGCAGCCGCTGTATTATGTGCTCTGGGGTGCGCGCATGAGCCAGATATAAGCAACAGCACTGAGCACAGAACTGACCACCAACTGCATAGTCCGCAGGCACTTGGATCGTTTTAATTCTGAAACTGATAGCAAAGTAACACGAAATGCATTTATTATCAAAGTCTAAAGGTTTATCTACTCGCGTTCACTTGTTATTAGTAAGAATTCCCCGCAAATGCCGTTGAAATGCTCCTCTGCAACACTCTGACAGTCTCAACCCCGATCTCAACGCACACACGCCACTGTGGTGCGTGTGTAAGAAGGTCTCGTCACACTGTGAAGTTTGTGCACAGTAGCATGCGTGAGGCGAGACTGTGTATTGCAGATGAGCATTTGAACCACATACGGTGGAATTACTAGACGATAAAGAATATATAAACTTTGGTATTAAACACAATTAACAATCATAATTAGTGAAACGGCCCAAGTGCCCGTGCACTGGTGTTCGACAACTGGTGTTCTGTCGAACACGTTTTCTGCTACGCAGTGTACCGTTCCTGCTCCACCGATAGCGCTCGTATATATATATTAAAAACAACGTTACCCGTTTATACCCGTCATAGACATGTATAGTTGCGTTTCACAGTACCGTACATCATCGTACAATTTCCAAAATCCTCGCGATCCAGGGTCGCGCGGAGAAGGATATTTGAATAATAAGAGGAGGAAAAATCCATTCATGAAGCTACGTACTCTGCCTAACGATTGTAACTACGCCATTTTTAATTACACATTTTTAATCTCTCGACTCTATCCCATGTCACAGTACTCACGACATAAATCCAGATAGGAACACGGCCACGGGTTTATAGACAGTGCGCAGTCATTAATCAATTTTCAGGTTAGACAGTAGCCGTAGGGCCTATCAAACCCTATAATCAAACATATTGCCTATTGCAGTATTGGCGTATTTTAGCATGCTGCATGGAAACTTTACCACAACACAGTGTGAGAGGCATAGCATACTCATTTTTACTCAC